GCCAACCCTGCACTGTTGGCGGCCACAGCCACCAACCAACAGCAGCAACAGCAACGTTTGGCAGCAGCGGTCCTGTCTGGACTTCAGCAGCAACAGCCGCAGCAAGCTCAAACTCAGAGCGCCGGGGTCGATCAATTTGCTCAGATTCAGGCTCTCTTCATGAATAGTCTCCTCCTCGGCGCATGTAAGTTTTTTCTTCTATTTTCTTACTTGAGCCAAAAGGGAACAACTATCCGTATTAATAATTTTGCTTGATATTAGCCGATAAGCTGACTTGAATACGGTGTCTGATCAATTTTAGTGTCTGGTTTTTATGGCTGTCCTTTTTGTGTTACCATGACGTTTTTCACAAAATTCGGACTTAAACTGGCTAGGCAGGTTGTCTGTGTGAATAGCATGAATATCTGCCACGGAAAATTTAGTGTCACGGCAACTGGCTCTCAGATCATGCCACATGTCACGTTATTGCGATCCGGACAGCCTTATCTACAAAATCCGTTCAGCTTCAACACTTCAACGCACACCACGAATGAAATCTGCAGCACTTAGTAATTTGTGTGGGTATTGATCTGTTTGTCTCCTGCCTACGCACATTTCGTCCCTCTTCTATTTTTGTATGCGTAAAACGCACACATTTCACCACAGTATTCTGAATCGCAGGCTTTCGACCTCCTCTCTTTGGCTACCGCCCCTCTTCGGCGATAGCCAGCCACACCTCCGCAATTAGTCGGGTCTTTCGCTGACCGTTTCTCGTCCAACTATCCATCACCAATGTTTGCTTGCCTCCTTTAAAAACTTTTAGAATGCACAATAATTAATTATGCTCCTCTGGTTATTTTAAATTGGCGTACTAAGGAGAGTGGGCTTTTTTCTCACGTTTGCCGCATCTTCGCCCCTTTGACAGACTCTCGTCTGATCCCCATAACGAAACACGGCAACCTTATGGTCACCAAGCGCTTTGCTTTTTATTGTGTTTGGTTTTCACTAGATCTTTTAAGTGGATTTGCTACCGTGTCTTCCTACGTAGAAATCGCAACCATTGTATTCTGAGTTTGTCGCGTCAGTGAACCATAAGCAATTTTGCATCGTTTTTTCGTGTTCCTTTTTCTCGACTAGATCTGTGTAGACATATAATTGCATCGCCAGTTACATCTCGGATCCTGTCTCAGCGCCTAATTATGTTTGTCATGTTCTACTTTAAGTACTACATTTGTCTGATCACACCATACGCCCAACTCTCCCTTAACTGTCTTTTTGGGGTTTCGCCGGTTCGTACACATTTTTAACACCGTCACAGTCCCGAAATCTGCCACCATACTTAGTTTCCCTTTATGGTTGTTCCATGTTTTTGGGGTTCAAATTCCTCGCAAGTGTTAGTTGAAAAGCCCATTCTTAATTATGAGCGTTACCGGGAAAATCGCAGTTATAGTCAGTATTGCAT